TCAACTTTTAAACCAGTTTTATGAGTTGTTAATTATGCTTAATTAAATCAATTGATTGTTCTATTATTAACATTTTTATCGATTATTTCGATGTGAATGGTTATAATTTCATAATATGAAATAATTAATGCGTTATAGTTGATTGATATGAAATTATGAATGATACAATCTGCATAGATTGCTCGTATGTGCACGACTGACTATGATGAATTCACCCCTTGATGATACCAATGGAGAGTTGCACGTATATGAAAAGAGATATTGATATTGATGTGTCTTAATTGACATAATTTTTAGACCGTGCTTCTATGATGGTTATATAGATATGAATTGATATTTATATAATATTAATATAGACTCTTTGAATAGTATGTTAAAGGTTTATATTAATTTATAAAAAAAGCTTAACTGACATGCATATTACTCATTTTTCTTGTAGTGCTATAGTTTATGAGTATGAGTATGCACTAGTTTGTTTACCTCATTATTATTTTAAACTAACTTTTCAAGTTAATTAAGCGATTAAAGATGAGCGATAAAAGGAAAAAATGTTTTATTGAAGATGCAAACAACCAGTAAAGAGGTAATATAAATTGTATCGCTTTAATTTAATTTCATTAGTGTATCTTTCATCTGTTAAATTGTAGATGAATATAGAAAATTTAATTTCACACTGCCCGACTGTCTGTTCCCGTCTTGGTTAACTCCCAGCCCTAGGTCGGGCCGTGACAAAAGTGATATAAGAGTATAAAGTTTAGGATTAATTAACATAATCTTGATGAAATAGTCAATAGAAAAATTATAAAAAAAAATTTAAAATATAAAAATAAAAATTAAAGTAAACTTAAATAATAATATATCCATTCAAACATGGTGATACACTCGAACATATAGAGGGCGGGAGTCTAATAAAAATTTTTTGATAGTTCATGTCACTCTACTTAATAAGAAATGACTTAAGGCCAATTTATTTGTAACATTCTCGTTTCTATTACGTGGGGAAGGGGAAATGAAGATTTAAAGGAGGAGAAGAAATGAGAAGTCGAGCATCTGAGAGTCAGAGGAGAGGAAACGATCAGTCGGAGCAGAGAGAAAATGAAGTGGGTCGGAAGTCGAAGGGGGGAATTTGCCATATAAATCACATATAAGATGGGAAGGCAATCAGAGAGCAAAGGAGGGAGGAGTAGCGTACCCGAAAAAGCGACGCAACCACCGACTGCTCTGTACTTGAGGGAAGAAAAGAATCACATCATTTCGGCGTTGAGCCGCTAGGTCACAACCATGCGAAGGCAGAGGTGAAGACGTTTTTGTCAAGCTCGGGAAGGAGGAAGAAGCAATCATGTCGAGAGGAAGAGGCGATGATGGGATGATCGTGCCTTCTTGCGGGATGGAGTTGAAGTTGGTGTGGTTAGAGTTCGAACGAAGGAGAAGTTCTGTCAAGTCGAAGATGAAGACAAATGAAGAGCTTCGGTCATGCCCTAGCCTACCAACGAAGAAGGAGCATCACAGAGGAGGGAGGGTTGAGCTCGTGCGCTGAAGGTCGGGAGAAAATTCGTGAGAGAGATCCTATGTGGTTCAGGTAAGGGAAAGTTTTAATATAGTAATTTAATAATAATAATAATTATAATAATAATAATAATAATAATATATTTATTGAATAGAAAAATAGGTATAATAAAATAATGGAAATTTAATAATAAAAAAAAGTTAATAGATACTGAAATAATAAATAATTTTATCTCATGTTAGGTTTCCACTTCAGAAAAGTCGACGCCGGGGCAAAATCTTATCGAATTAAGCATCATCGAGGTGAGTATTTTTACTTCTAAATTATGGTAATAATATTGTATTTTCTCTATACTTGCATTAGAATGTCGTTAGTCGAGATATCTTGTTACTGCAATTAGAATATGATTATTTTGTTTTATTATTCAATTTAATCATCTAGAAATGAATGTGAATGATTTACATAGTTATACTTATTTACTACACATGCATTTTATTCGGTGATTTTTAAAATGTAAATGAAATGATCTATAGCATGCTTGCATGTGCATGATTGACTATGATGTAGTCACTCATTGATGATAATAGTGGGAGAACACTACTATACTTGTGTACGTAAATGAAAAAAAATTTTGATATTGAAGTACTTTAAGCGGTACAAACTTTTAGACGGTGCTGTTGTGACGGTTGTATAAATATGAAATGATACATATATAGACTCTTTGAATACTATGTTAATGTTTATATTGATTTATAAAAAAAACTTAACTGGCACGCATATTTTTTTTTGTATTGCTGTAGTTTAGGAGTATGAGTATTCACTGGCTTGTTTAAGTCATTATTATTTTGAAACTAACTTCTCAGGTTAATTAAGTGAATAAAAGATGAACAAAAGAAGAAAATGTTTATAGAAGATGGACAACGATCGACGATGTAAATTTATTTGTATCTCTTTAAATTAATTTGTGGTGACTCTTTCAATTGTTAAATTGTAGATTAATACAAAAAATTTAATTCATACTGCATGATCATCTGTACCCGCTTTGGTTAATTCCAAATCCTGTGTCGGGTCGTGACAATAAGGCCTTGCGAGGACGGTGAGATTAGGGTCGTACTCGGATGATGAGGTTGGAGTAGAGGACGATGAGGTCATGTAAGGATGACAAGGTCAGGTTGGGGTTGGAGATGGGTATGACGATATTGAATGGGAAGATTAGGTAGTCGAGACCATGCAAGGTCCCAACATTTGGAAGTCCAACAAAAATAAAAATTTTGGGGTATTATAAGTGTCCAATACAAATACTTCGCATTTGCTTCTAACCAAATACTAGAAAAATTAAAGTCATGTATTTCTTTTGCTTTACACCTTAAATACACAAAAGCAAAGAACCCCTCGTCTTTCCATAATGCATTTATTTAAATGCATTTACAATTAGATGTATGTTCCATTAACTAGTTACATGTTTCCATTTATATATAAACGTTATAATCGATTTGGGTGCAGTTGGATGTCTCCTTCTATCCAATAATTCAATATAAATCACAAAGAGAAAGGAACCATCATGCGATGAGGTGTGGGTAAAAAATCTTAACTTTTTCCCCTAGATGGAAACTCCTTAACAGGAAACATCATTTCTGAACAACAGTTAGATGTTTTGCCTTGCTGCCTTGGAAAAGAGAAATCCATATGGTCAAGAGCGAGATATATAAATATGATTATGTGGAGCCCACTAGTTGGGTTCTACTATAAAATTGAAATTAAGCAGCTTGATTTTTATTGGCAAGCAATAACATATGATTGCACTGAATATACACAGGAAGTTATTAGTGCTAAATTTATAGTCCCATTCCACAACACCCACTTCATTATATTGTGGCTGAGTACGCCAATGCTACTATCTTCAAAAACTACTTCCTTTCTTGATTCTCTGTCTTCACTTTCAATTCTTCATGAAAACTGTTTCTTTGCTATGTTTCAGCCCAAGGTATTACTTTGGTCCCTTTTCCAAATCAAGCATGATAGCTAGTAAGGTTAAATTCGTCACTGCCACTGGAAAGTGACTTCATCTATTGGCTTTAGACTTCACAGTTTGCACCAAAAAATTCAAGAGTTGATTATAAAAATTCTTGACCATGAACGTGGTGCTTTGTGATATAGATTAATGCAGTAGTCCATCAAATGGTGCAGGTTACAATAAAAAAGATGAATATTGTTTTCGTTGATGAGGGGATGCGGAAAATGGTCGCGTAGTTTACTTGAATGCCCATGCCCAAGTGCATACCATTTCTACATACAACACATAAGACAACTTTTTCAGAGAGAGAGAGAGAGAGCGAGAGAGAGAGAGAGAGAGGTTTTATTGTACTTTTAAAATACATCTTAATTAAAAAATGAGTTTCATTGTATTTGTTTTACGTCCAATCCAAGTAACTTCAAAAAATTAAAATATATTACTTTTTTTAAGGGAGATTTGCATGCATTCCACACAATTCTTATGTATTTCCCTGTCCAACACTTAAACTTGGATTTGCATACATTCCACACAATTCTTATGTATTTCTCTGTCCAACACTTAAACTTTAATATTTACTAACATAACATTTAAGTGTTTGACAGCACATCAAAAATACCACTAATACTAGTTTTTGTAAGGTAAAATGTACTTTTGTATGTATATGCTTTGGTGTGATTTTGGCACTTAACTGTTATGTATATGTAAATGTCAAATTGTAGGTGTTATTTATAATAAATATAAATTGTATGCTATGGATGTATATCTCTTTTTTTATTTTTCCTTACTTTGAGTTTATTTGATTGCAATTATTTAAGACATTTTTATTTTAGATGCAATATTAACGAAATACATTGTGTTTTAATTCCTTAAAGTTGTTGGATAGCTGTAAAAAACTCCACAAAATCAATTAATTGAAAATGAAATAAATTACTCCATGTTTGGCAAAATAGGGATTGAGGCTTGGTGATAATGCGGATGTTGGTGCTTCCATTGGGGATGGCATGATGGCACAAGGTTTAGGTTAAGGTTTAGTTTCAAGCTCATGTTTAGGGATGACAGTCTACAGTGCTTCAGGGATGGCGTGGTTGGGGTCATATGGAGATGATGCAATCGTTTGGGGTTGGGGTCAAGGATTGCAATGTTGTGGTCTACGAGATCGTGTGAGGATGGCGAGATCAGGATCAACGATAGGGATGATGCAGGATTGGGATCAAAGCAGGAACGATGATCATTCTTTTATGCAGAACATCACCAGGGGGTCTCATGAAGAACCTCACTTTGATGTGGGAGCAGTGTTTCCTTTTCTTCTCAGTTATAGTGTATATTCAAGTCACTATTACTTTTATGCTGATATTACCTGATAGTTTTTTTGTTAATATTGTTGATGCTATTGGTTTGGTTCTTTGTCTCATTTGGTTCTATCTATCATACTTCAACAAGACATCTGTTCTATTAATTAATGACATGGATTCCATTCAGATAAGCAGGTCTCCCGTTTTCAAAGCAATGCTGGAGACCGAAATGGAAGAGAACATGAGCGGCATGATTAAAATCTACGACGTCCCCTACGAATCCCTTCGTTCCTTCGTCAAATACCTGTACACTGCAGAAGCACTCCTTGATGAGCAGATGGCTTGTGATCTCCTTGTTCTTGCGGAGAAATACCAGGTGAAGCATCTGAAGTCTTTCTGTGAGAAATTCTTGACTTCCAAAGTGAACAATGAGAATGCTATTGCAAGCTATGTCTTTGCTCATCAACACCATGCCAAGCAATTGATTGAAGCCGCTTTGTCTTCAATCTTAGAGAATATATCCACATTAACTGAAAGGGAGGAATATAAGGAGCTTTTGGATAAGGATCCCCGGCTTGTAGTGGAGATATATGAAGCTTATTTAACTAGGCAGGTGAACACTGCAGAAAAGTAAAATATGTTTACTGAACATTTCGAAATATGAAGGAAAGAAATGTGATTGTCTTCTAGTTTATGCAGAGTGTTTTGGAAAGTCAATTTCAAATTTCATCTTAATGTCTAGTGTTGTTGTTAGCAGCTATATAGTGATCATATGTTTGAGCTTGAGCTGAGCTGTAGATTATGATATGTTCTGGGAATCCAAACTCTTTTTTTTTTGGTTATTTCATGAACTTTTGGGATTAACAAAAAAGACAAGGAAATGACCCATTCAATTTCTATTACAATTTATGAATATCAAGTTAAAAAAAAATTGTGGCAGCGATTTGAGAAATTAATGATTGAATGCTCGACTCATTCATATTCGTTTATTTAGGCAAGTATATGTAGGGGCATTTACATGCATACCACCTAATTCCTATGTATTTACAAATTTAACACCTTAACTTATTTTTGGATGTATACCACCCAAAATTTTCATATCATATTCAAAATTTCACTATTTTAACTTTTCAAAAGTGAAATACACCTTTTCATCATATATATATCTATCTATCTATCAATATGTGTTGTGTGTGCGCGCGCGCGTGCTCACACGCGTGCCACAAGCTATATTCTGTTGGTTTGTGGGGAAATTGATATATATATATATATATATATCAATTTGTGTGTTGTGTGCGCGTGCCACAAGCTATATTCTGTTGGTTTGTGGGGTTCACTGTAAGTCCCCTCAGGTTACGGATCACGGGTTCGACCTTTAGTGGCACTCGATTTTCTTTACTATATATATATATATATATATATATGCTTATATGTTGACGGGTAAAATGAGCTATGCAGTATTGTTAACATATATAATAATTGGGGCTAATAAAACATAAATCTCTAAAAGTTTACTAATAAAATCAAATGTACAAAAAGACAGATAATAACAGTAGATGAACTCAAAA